CCCCCAAAAAAAAAAAAAAAAAACAATTGCCCTGTATGTTTCACCATTAAATTATGCTTCAGAAATCACTGGTGATTTCATTTAGTTCACAGACAATGTTGCCATGTTACATATGCAAGCTAACTTTCCCATTATTTCATCTACTGCTCCAGTAACCATTGGGACTGCAGTGGAACGGGAGCACATCCAGGAGAGTACAGGTTGTGGAATTGATTCCCTGTTCGTACAGAAAGCTTCTGTGTAAAGTAATATATAAAAAGGAAGTCAAATACAGATTAGTTATTCAATAAGGCATAAATAATTAAGAAGCATTTAATAAAACTAAACTTTAAGCTAACTGTATTTCCATAAATATTTGATACGTGTTCATTAAGTTTAGAAAACATATTGTTTACATTTGACACCGTGAAATAAATCCATTCCTAAAATCTCCAAATTGGTCACGCAGCAGAGACACGTATCATCCCATTTTCTCTGGGAGAAAATCTCATTATTTTAGTGGCAACTTGTAAATAACCATTATCCTGTTGTTTCCAGTAAAGGCTCGTTTCAAAAACACCCTTACAAAAAGACAGAGGAAAAAGAAAGGAAAAATTCAATAACAGGAAATATATAGTGTAATAAACGTATGCCATGTTTTTCAGGGAGGGGCGAGCCTGTAGGGGCCCTGGGGAAAAGGGGAAACAAATGTCATCTTTCTTTTTATATAATTGTATACCCGTGTGCTTTATATAATCAAAATGAATACTTCAATTTGCTACACATTTAGCTGGAGGAAAAGAAGGCATATGGAAGAAAAGCCCCAGGGGCAAATGATCTCACTCACCTGGAAAACAATGTGTGCGTTAATGGAGTAATTTGTTAATTAAAGATTCTAAGATGCCCACCAAAGCCATTTATTTTTGAATTACCACTTCCTAGAGTCGAACAAGATCCCGGGTAAAATGTAATTAGAAACTCTATTTTTCCTCTGTCTCAGTTGTTTCTGAGCACAATCAATTTGACAAGGATCCCCAGAGTTACCTCGGCAGCAGATGGTCCGCATGCTCACCCAATCAGCGCCGCGCACCAAGAACAAAAAAGATAAAACAATTTCACGCCTGTCGCCAGAGCTCCAAGATGCAGTGCTGGATTGAATTATCTTCAGATTAAGCTCCTTATTTGCAGTGGAACACAAAACAGGGACAACTGCCGAAGACAAATAAGTACTCATTTGTAAGACTCCAAACACAGTGCAATTTTTTATTTGTTTTTAGGTACGTTGAAAACATAGGCAATGCCTTTTCAGCTCTCAGTAGCAAAGATGAGAACTTGGCTGTAAGGATTTATCTAGAGGCACTTTCATTTCACTGACACCTTGGAATGCTTTCCATTGCAACCATGTGGAAGCCCATTTAGGGAACCTATAGCTGCTTTTTGGATTTTTTTAGAAAGTAACAACAATTTGCTGTGCTTTGTGTTAATAACTCTAACAATTGTTTTGTTCATTTTAAAAGGAAATGACTCGGCTATGTTTAGAACCGCAGAATTGTTAAAGTCAGAAAAGACAATTAGGATCACATAGTCCAACCATCACCACCATACCACCAACCATGCCCTTCAGTGCCACATCTTTTTTTGACTAGCTTGCATACAGCAGTGTAAAATGATAACATTCATACGTGTGTTCATCAGGAAGGGTCCTAATTTCCAAGTCTTTCAAGGGTGCTCTATAGGTTGCTGTGACAGGGTGACAGAGGAATTGTGCTGTAAGAAGCACTGCTTGACTCCGACTCCTGTTGCTGCTGTTGGCTTTGCCCCAGGTTTGAGCCCTGTGTGGTACTTGGTTTTCTGCTGCCCCTGAGACAGGAACCCAAGGGATGAAATAAATAAATCTTGCAATATGGAACTAGGAGTTGTTCTAAAAGTGTACTCCCAGGAGCAAAATGTATAGGAAGTTGGGACAAATGTTGTCATGGGACAGTGGGATGCTATATGTTGCCTGGTATGGTTGTGCTTACTCTTATTGGAGGAATTTGGCTCAAACTGTTGGCAGGTTACAAGTAATTGGAGCAGAGCTTTGTTTTGGCAGGTTGCTAAGAGACGCACTGAGTGCCATCGTTGGCTCTGCAGGAAAACTACAAAAATCCCTAAAAAGTTTCACAGTATATATTAAAATTAAGTTTTGGGAATTCTTAAACAAATGTATCAGGGAAGAGCTGTCCTTTTAAAAATCTGTGAATCAGATGCATGTTATGCATCAGTCAGAGAATGAACTATGAACGCAGATACACCTAAACCTGAATCCACTGAACAATTGTTTTGTTGTGATAAGAATTTAAAAGCACAGTAATTGAAGTTTACATGAAAATAACACATGGGCAGGAGGGTGAAGTGCTTTAAACACAGCATGTAAGGCATCATCTGTCATCAGGACACATGGCAAATAATGCTATTCTATGTGCAAGGTAATAGGCATTTATGGGGAAGAAAAGTGACAAAGATCTTGGCAATGCAGTAGGAAAACACCATTTGGGTTTTAGAGTTTCAGTCTGGATTCTGCTGATGGAGAGGTTTTTCCTTGTTGGCCATTTTATCTTCAAAGCTCAGCAAGTCTGATATTCTCCTCGTCTCTTACGTTACTTTTGGCCTCTGGCCTAAATTCAGCTGTTGGGAACTTTTAGGTTTGGGGCACTTAGTAGCTGAGAAGAGTGTTTCTTTGCAGAAAAGGGGCTCCTTTTGCCTGACTTTCTTGGATACTTAGTAGTGCCTTTCTTGACTGAAGAAAAACTTAGTAGTACCTTTCTTAACTGAAGAAAAACAGTACTTGCTGAACACAAACAAACCTGATGTTTCTCCTAAAACAGTCAGAGTTGGAAGCGATCCCAGAATTCCTCAAATCCAAATTGTTTCTCTACATAAAACGTGCTAAAATTCTTTCCCTTTTTCCCTCATCCCAACTTAGTGGCCTCCTTGATTCTCGTTTTGCTTCACACTGGGGCTGAATGGAAGTTCCTCACTTGTTAAGTTTGCACTGACATTATAAAGCAGCCCGAAGCAATTCAGAAGTCCCATTTCTAGAGAACACCTCAAGTTCTGTGCTCACTGTTGCTCAACAGAAAAAAAAAAAAAAAGATTGTTTTTTATTCTTAATTAATTCCGTTAAAAATAAATTTTAAACAGGCTCTCCCTGTCTTAATTTTATTAACATTCTGTATGCTCCTAATTATTTTAATTTCTATTAGCCTACAGGCCATACCTTGTTTTCATAACAATTTCTCTCTCCTATACTATGTCTTCCCACATCTGTCTTATCTTTTTGTTCTTTTGTTTTCAGTGTCATTGTGCATCAGCACTGTATTCTGTGTATTCTGCTGAGCACATGGGGAGCCTTTTCCAACTTGGACAATTTTTCCTAAGTCTACTCTGACCAGAGGAAATACATTTAGTGAAACGTCCAAATAACATAACAGAGGCTAATTAAATTAACTTTTGCCCATTATTTTGTGAGCCACCAGCATCCCACAGCCAGTCATTTGTTAACTAATAATAGGTGCATTATTTATTGCATACATTGTTCCCTGACTTGAAAATGCTACTAATGTGAATTCCTTTCTTCTCATCACTGATAAATAATACTAAATTTGCTCAGAGGATCCAGAAGCAAAATTGTAGCATATTAATTGTCTTGAGCTACGTAAATAATATTCACCACAAAAAATTGCTTAATATAGTAAGACTACATAAATTAACTAACACATACAAGAAAATTAAGAAGAAATTATATAAGGAGTGCTTTTACCAATTATTCTTATATAACCATTCATTGCAAATTACAGCTACCACTACTGTCTGTAATTGCTTTGTTTGTTCTTCTTCTCTTTTCACTACTGGTTTTGGAGCCACATTTGTTCTAATAAGTATCAGAAATACGGTCAGATCTATCACTCTTATTTGGCCACTACGCTTTCTATGTAGGTCAAAGTTTGATCTATGGAGTCTAGAGACATGTCAGTTGAGAACAGTCAGTATAATAGCTTTTCCATCCTGTTCCTCTTAAATCTCTGTCTAGTACAACGCATATAATGCTGAAATATATTTTGCCCCTACCTGGTGTTATTCAATAGTGATGGGGGTAGTGATGAATAGAGAATGCAAATTTACTGCTTTTGTTGCTCAACAAAGACCTTGCGGAAGTCCTTGCATTTCAGGTTTCGTTTGGGGAATAAAGTCACCATCTGCTGTATTATTTCCTCCCTAAAATTACCAGCTCATGCCAATGTAAATTAATTTCTTATTAGCTTGCATTACCATCAGTATCTTCCTCTGCTGCATTCCGGGCTCTTTGCCTTTCACAAAGTAGTCATGAATTTGCAGTAATGTGAAGTTGATCAAAACTATGATGCTATGAGAAGGGTTATTAGAAAATAAAAGACTGGAGAGACTCTCATGTTCTTATAGATATTCTGTCACTTCACCAGGTGAGGAATAAAGAGGAAACTGCTGTAGAAAACAAAGAGCAGATAGTTAATGGATTTTCCTACAAGCTGCATGTTTTCTTGACAAGGAACTGTAGAGGCCATTGCTGCAAAAGGCCAACAGAGAATACAGATCTATACTGGCAGGTCAGCAATCTTTGCCTTACGTTTGTGTTGCAGAGCAATACTTGCAAGTTCAGGCAAAAGTTTAACTGTAGTTTTACAGTACAATGATAACACTGACTAAAATTACCTCTTCTAGAAAACTGAGGTATGTGCAAACTAAAATTAAAAAAAAGAACACACTGCTTGTCTAAGATGCATTTGTTCATTCCTTCTCCTAAGTGGTTTAGTGGTCAGGACGCTTGTAGCACGGCCAGACCTGTTATCTTCTGGGCATTTTACACCCTGATCTGGAAGTCTGGGATGCTACTCAGAAAACACTCCCAGCGATTCAGGTGGAGACAGTCAGAGAGCTCCTCCTCTATGTGGACTGTCACAAGTCCATGGGACCGGATGGCCTACACCCTCGGGTGCTGAGGGAGCTGGCGGGGGTGATTGCCAAGCTGCTCTCGGCCATCTATCAGCGCTCCTGGTTAACTGGAGAGGTCCCAGAGGATTGGAGGCTTGCTGATGTGACTGCCATCTTCAAGAAGGGCCATAAGGAGGATCCGGGGAAGTGCAGGCCTGTCAGCCTGACCTCGGTGCCAGGGAGAGTAATGGAGCAAATCATCTTGGGTGAGATCACATGGCATGTCCATGGCGTCCTGAGGATCAGGCCCAGCCAGCATGGGTTCATGAAAGGCAGGTCGTGCTTGACCAACCTCATCTCCTTCTGGGTGACCAGACTGGGAGACAAGGGGAAGGCTGTTGATGTAGTCTACCAAGACTTCAGCAAAGCCTTTGACACAGTTTCTCACAGGATTCTTCTGGGAAAACTGGCTGCCCGTGGCCTGGACAGGTATACCCTTCTTTGGGTAAGGAACAGACTAGAGGACCATGCCCAGCAGTAGTGGTTAATGGAGTTAAGTCCAGCTGGCAACCTGTTACAAGTGGTGTCCCCCAGCGGTCGGTACTGGGGCCCATCTTGTTTAATATCTTTACTGATGACCTAGATGAGGGGATTGAGTGTACCCTCAGTAAGCTTGCAGATAACACCAAGCTGGGAGGTGGTGTCAATATGCCTGAGGGTAGGGAAGCCCTGCAGAGGGAACTGGATAAGCTGGATCGCTGGGCTGAGGTGAATGGGATGAGGTTCAACAAGGCCAAGTGTCGGGTCCTGCACTTTGGCCACAATAACCCCATACAGAGCTACAGGCTTGGGTGACTGTGAAGAGGAAAGGGACCCGGGGATGTTGGTTGATGCTCGGCTGAACATGAGCCAACAGCACCCAGGTGGCCAAGAGGGCTGACGGCATCCTGGCCTGCATTAGAAATAGTGTGGCCAGCAGGAGCAGGGAGGTGATCATCCTCCTGTACTCAGCACTGGTGAGGCCACACCTCGAGTACTGTGTTCAGTTTCAGGCCCCTCACTACAAAAAAGACACTGCGGCCCTGGAACGTGTCCAGAGAAGGGCAACAAAATTGGTGAGGGGTCCGCAGCACAAGTCCTATGAGGAGCAGCTGAGGGAGCTGAGATTGTTTAGTTTGGAGAAGAGGAGGCTCAGGGGAGACCTCATCGCACTCTACAACTTCCTGAAGGGACGCTGTGGTGAGGAGGGGTTTGGCCTCTTCTCCCAGGCAACAAACAGGACCCGGGGAAATGGCTGCAAGTTGTAGCAGAGGAGGTTTAGGTTGGACACGAGGAAGAACTTCTTCTCTCAGAGAGTGGTCAGGCACTGGAATGGCTGCACAGGGAGGTGGTGGAGTCGCCATCCCTGGCAGTGTTCAAGAGGCGTCTGGATGAGGAGCTGCGAGATACGGTTTAGTTTGTGGTAGCAGTGGTAATGAGAAGATGGTTGGACTAGATGATCTTATAGGTTGTTTCCAACCTTGTGATTCTATGATTCTATGATTCGATTACCAATGGGAAATGCACCTGCATTAAATAACTTCAAGGAAAATCTGAATGAAAGCTACAGAGCAGGCTAAGAGAGTTTATGAGTAGAAATACTTAGGCATGTATCTTAAGGCTACAAACAAACTATATTTTTACTGCTGCTGTCAGTGTGGTCTGTAAACGATGGCTGGCACATAAGGTAGATAAGGTAGATAATCTCATGGGAGTAGAAGAATGACTTGAAGCTCTTGATGCTGAAGCAGAATCCAGAACAGTCCTGCCACTGTAACTGAACAGTACCTTAAATGACAAAGTCTGCTCCAAAAGTAATGCCTCCTATTTTATTCTGCTGTCCCATGACTTCAGAGGTGAATGTTGGTGGTATGGCAGTAGAGGTTGAACCATCCCACCAATATCCCATCATAATCTGTTGCTGCGTGACAGATGGCAGCAGAGGAGAAGTCTGACAAAATAGCATTCAACATGAAAGTACACATGAAGCAAAAGTGTGTCATGGAATTCCTTCATATGGAAAAAATGGCACCCATTGACATTCATCAACACTTGGTGAATGTTTACAGAGACCAACCAGTGGATGCACAGTGAGGGTTGGGTGGTGCATTTCAGCAATGGCGACAGAGATGTGAAAGACACCCCACATTCCAGACAGCCATGCACAGCTGTCACACCACAAAATGAAGAGCATTCCAATCAGCTCATCAGAGAGGATTGTCTGATTATGACCAAGCAATTCTGTATAGAGGTGAATAGAGGCTTCAATGAATTAGAAACAATAGAGGCAACACTGGAAAATCATGAAGTTTGCACCACTTGGGTCCCACAGATGCTCACACAGGAACAGAAAGAACACTGTATGCATGTTTGTCAGGACCAAGAGAACCCATATGAGGCTGAAGGTGACAGTTTCATGGGTCACATCACTACTAGTGATAAGATGTATCACCACTAAGAGCTGGAGTAAAAACAGCAGTCAATGGAGTGGCAACATGTGAGCTCCTCACTGAAGACAAAGTTCAAGATGCAGCCTTCAGCAGGTAGAACTGATGTGCGCTGTTTTTTTGGATAAGAAAGACATGGTCCTTCTGGATTTACTGGAACCCAGCAAACCATCATCTCTTACTGCTACACTGCAACACTCACTGAGCTGGAGGCTTGCACTTCCAGAGTCAGGCTTGAGAAGATGATAACCTTTTCTTGTAACAAAATAATGCCAGACTCTGAACCAATGTAAAGACTATGGAGCACACTGCCAGTCTTCCTAACGCGCCCACATAATAGTCCAGATTTGGTGCCTTTTGACTTCCATCTGTTCAGCCCACTAAAAGACGGATGTTGTGGCATCATTTTCCTAGCAACAACGCCATCATAGCAGCTGTGAAACAGTGAATCTCCTCCACATTACAGATTTTTGCAAGCGCAGCATGTAGGCTCTTTGTCATTGCTGGTAAAAATGGAAAGCTAATGGTGGTGACTATGCTGAAAAGGAGAGTTTTGTAGCTGAGAATTTTCTCTATCAAATAGTGCTGTACTCTTTGTTTTAGTTTCCATGGCAATAAATAGGAGGCGTTGCTTTCAGAGTGACCTACCTCCTTTGAATTTGAAGATTTGAGGTTTTGAAGATATTTAATGAATTCTGTATTGATAGAAAACAACGCCAAAATTATTGATAAAAGTAGCAATACCCTTACTGTCTACAAATGAAAAAAATTCCCTTCCTGTAGTGATTGAGTACACAGGATGATTACGATTTGTTAAAAATACATCAACTATTGATGAAATCTATACAGATTAGACAATGTCAGTTGTCACAATAGAATATAACCTGTACTATAAGGAAATCATAAATAAAAAATGTGATCTGACTCAACAATGCACCCAAGAAAGACTGGATCACTACAGAGAGAAGGAAGATTCCCTTTTACAAGTCAGAAGAGGAAAGTAAATGTCATTTGCTAAGGCCAAGATGCTTAGTGGCTGAAGTGTCCCTCTGTCAAAGAGCTCTGCAGTTATCTCACTGAGCATAACAAAATCTTAAAGAATTTATTACACTGAATTCATTCAATTTTCAGACTCTAAAAGGAAAAATAGCACTAATCACTGAAGAGAGACTAAAATGTAGTGGGATTGTGGCACTCTGTCCTGACTGCCATTTCTAGTAACAAGTCACCTGCACAGCTACCAAGTTCACTAAGCCTCTAGAGAGAAGCTTGTGGGGTGCACTTGGTCTGGACTTCTCCTGGCCTTCCTGGTCTTTATTTTGCTGTAACAGGATATATATTTTTTAAATGTACAGCATAGCTATAGTTTTGTATAGACAGTAGTAACAAGCTCTTGTTCTGTGTAGAACAAAATAGTGATGCTTCTAATGTAATGACACACCATGGAGAAACACAGGCCTAGTGTGATGGCTAAAGCCTCAAATGGGGACATGGAATACAGACAGAGGACAAAGGGCAGAGTCAGACTGGAGGTCTTGGAGCACACCAGAAACATTTTTAGGGCTAAAATAATGTATCTAACTGCTCCACGTGCAGCAGCTTTGCAGGTCACACAGACTTACAGAGCAATGAAGAAAAAGTAAGGTGTAAAAGGTTTTAGTAGATATCCAAAAAAGACCTTAAGTAATCCACAGGATGAGGAGAAAGGAAGCATCAACACCAACTTCATATTGCTCCTAGTACAGGGAGTGTCAGCAAGGAACAAGTGTATAATTAATTGAACTGTATTGTTATTACTGAGCCTTAATGTAATGATACTCTTTTCCTTATCTTTTTTTTTCATCCTGTAATTGTTAAACATGAACTAATAATAACAACAATTATATGATTAAGATTTCAATTATCATCACCATAAATTCTTAGTTTTACACATTATGTGCATGTCTTTTTTTTCCCATAACAGAACTTTGAATGTAACAATGTACCTTTTAAAACATATTACAAGAAGTTTTGTCTCCATAATGGAGGTATCTTCACCAATTTCATACCGGTTCAGTCCAGGGTTCTCACTCTCCTTGAATCATGACTGTCTTTGATGGGAGTGCCATACACACACATTGAACTACTGCTGCTTTTTAGGGGGGCAAGTAGCACAGAGTTCATCTGGATCACTGATTTTCCATGAATGAATTACAAGCTCCTGATCGATATCTTCCATTTCATCAAGAAGATGAAATCTTCAGTGCACACAGATATGTTATAAACACCTAAGGAGCCATGAGTTTATTCCTGTTATCTCAAAGTGACCAGGACCAAGACTTCAAAAAAATCTCTGTAAACTAGATCAGTGCCAGACTCAGTAAGTTAAGAAGAACCTCTCAGGGAACATCAGTGAGTCTGAGGGTGAGGGTAAGACCTATGGGTGGCACTAAATCATCAGAAGGGGATGTCTTTGAAATGAGAATATTATTACAGGTTTTTCAAATATACTCACTGTATGAAAGTCTGAGTCAGACTTTTCCAGTACTTGCAAAGTAGCCCTCTCTTTGACATATGTTTTGATTTCCTCCTTGTACCTCACTTCTGCTGTCATAAAAGCTGCCATTACGTATAGTCACCTGTCATTCTTTTGCTTCACAATTTCACAAATGGTTATTGTGCCTGTGGTATAAGGTAAAGGAAAATTCAAGTAGAGTTGCATAAAGCCTGTCTTCATTTCTAAAATAGTCTGGGATTTGAATGCCACCCACAAAACCTGCATCTGAATTGCTGAGAGTTTGTTTTCACAAATCCCAATGGAGAATGCCAACTTACCTCTGCCTCCAAGCCTGAGACTTGTCAGAGCCCCCTGAAAAATACCACTCCTGTTAGAGTTGACTTTAAGCCATGTACCCCTGCTGAAATCGGTAGTATCTGTATTCTACTCAAGCGAGTGGGTTGGCCATAGCTCCACCTGATACTTGAAAGCCTCTAATGATTAATGGTCCACACTGTCTCTGAATAACCTCTCCCACCACTGTCTGAATTAAATTATATATATTTTATGCATGCATATTTATATGCATGAGAAACTTCGAATACTTTTCTTCTCATAGAAGTTGGCATTGAGATTCTATCAAAATGTTCAGACTTAATCCCCAACACTTCTATGCAACTGAAAAAAAAAATAATTTTAAAACAAAAATGTTGTGGGTTTTTTTTTTTTATATTTTTAAAAATCACGTTGTCTTCCCCCACTGAGATCCAACCAAGGCTTTCACTTTTATCAGCTGGAACTGTTGAGAAATTTTCCCATCACAGCAAAGATAATGGCAACATAGTAAAGTCTGGCTTTCCTCACACGTTTTGATATTTTTGTGTTGAAGAATACTCACTGATTGATTAATATAAATTCTGAATTATAAAAATATACACGAAATACTTACCGAATATAATAATGCATTTTAAATATATGTTTCCATTATGCTCATGTAAATATACATTCCAAAATCCAGGAGAATTACTTTATCCATGACAAATTTAAGCAGTTGAAGGCTGAACAGATGCAGTACGTTACAATTCACCTCACAGTGTATTTTATGACCTGGTTTTTAAAACATTAAAGAGGAAAAAATCTTAACAGCAATTTACTCTATTCAAATATTGTAAAGAAGATGGGACATAAGCATAGCTGCATGAAATCAGTCATTCTGCTTAACTTGTTGTTCTTCATAATTTGAAAATATTACTCTACTCTGAATATTATTATACTAGAAAATGAGTCAGGCATATATGAGGGCTGCTCCAAAAGTACTGCCTCCTATTTTATTCTGTTGGCCCACAGGTGTCAGAAGTGGATGTTGGTAAAATGGCAGTAGGGGTTGAAACTTCCCACCACTATTCTGCTACATTTTGTTGCCACGCAACAGATGGCTATAATTTACCTAACAGTCTTGATGGACGTATAAAATGTATTCTACCTACCCTACAGATACTTATTGATGTATTTGGATAGAGTTGCACCAAAATACAAAAGCAGCTATAATAGGTTCATGTGATGATTTATGAAGGTAAGTTCTACTTACAGAGAATTATTACAGTGTAATCTGAAGTAGCTATGAGGAAATCTAATTAATGTTTCAGAAAAAGTTCTTTGCCCATTCATTAGGTGTACTTACTTGAATTCACTCGGTAAAGAGCTCTGTTGGACTTCAACCACGTGCATGTCTTTGGCAAGGAGTGAATATGAATTCTGGGCACTATTTCAACCAGGATATTTTCATCTTTATTTCATTGCTTATTGTCTCTGCACTATGAAATTGACAACAAGCTAAACTTTAGTTATTCAAGTGAAGCCCTGCCTACATATTTTTTAATGAGATCAGATTCTGCCTTACAGGTAGCCAAGATTAACTGTTATTTTCCCAATGCTTTCTCTCTTGCAACACCAGAATGCACACGTGGAAGGACTGCACACTATTGTAAATGGAAACATGAATCAGAGGGAAAAAAAGATCAACAAACCAAACCAACCAACTAACCAAAACCAAGGCATGATGAATAGGAACTGCTGAATCACAGTCTGAACCTCTGACTGATCACCTGAGGTGAGCAGTAAGTCAGCCACAGGAGCATAAGCAAAGGCAATTGACCTGTGCTGCTGGAACGGATGAAGCCTGGTTTCACCTCTCCTAGACCCATTTAAGAGCTGACTACCAGTAGAGAAGGATCTCTTCTGGAGATCCTTCCTCTGGAGTTTTGCAGTGAACCCAGGATGTAGGTAAGCATTGTATCTATTCTCTTTTTATTATTATAACCTGCTTAGCCAAACCCTCTGGTTTATTTTATAATTATAACATCTTTATATTCATTGATTATACACATGAAAAGCAAGTTACTGTAGAATACTTGACTCATTAATAGATGAGTCTAAAGTCAAAGTTTAAATTAAGGTAAGCATCATCAAGATTCTTCAAAACAAAATACAGGTAAGAGATGATAAGAGAAATGAGAATACCCAATCATTTCAGTGCACCTAAGAGAAAATGGTCACCTACCTGGCTGCTCCTATTAATATCCCTTTGTTAGTTAGAGACCCTGCACTTGAAATGTGTTTGCAGATATGGCATCAATTCTGGAGCTCACGTTTTAAACCATGGACACCTGAATAACAGGCAATGCAAATAAGTAACAGGGTTAGGATCTACCCTCCGGTAAGGAATGCTTACAGCTATCAGGTTCTCTCTCTATAATTGAAAGCCATTGATTAAAATGGTCAAAATGAAACTGTTTGCTTAAGAGTATAATCTCTTTACAGATCAGAATTAAATTCATAACAGCTGCAACTAAGATCATGCTCCTAACCCTCCAAAAAGAATTAAGGTGGCTGGAAGGGAAAACATTAATCATGACAGAGTAAACCTGATGAGAAGTAGAATGCAATAGATATGAAAGGCCTGTTCAGGTCTGTTCAGCTATAGAACATGCACAAGCTGACTAGAAGTTACATGTTCACACATGGCTAGAAAAGTCTTGTCTTTTGATGGTGTGCATGTTAAGTTTCTTAACTTTTTTGGATAAAGCTTATTTTTAAATATCAGGCTTGTAAATATCCTCTGTGAAAATAGTTCATTGATGACATCAAAATATGCCATTCAAATGTATTAGTTCCTGGTTTAGAAGCTCACTGTATGTACCAGACCTATGATAACTATATGTGCTCTATCTCTTGACACAGCATCTATCAGAACATTAAGATAACCTGAAGTTACTCACTGAATAACAGAGGAAAAAAAAATCACATTCCTTCAATATGAATTGAAAGAAATGTATCTATACTTTTGTTGTGGGCTATGCTGTCATTTTTCAATCTGAAATTTGTACCCAGCAAGAACCTACTATAAATCCAAACAAAAACACTGGTTGTCATGCTCCCTGTAGAAGGAGTTACTCAAAACTGTGCATTTTCAAAATGCACAATTAGTTTCTGATTTTGAAGTACACTAAACACACTGAGGAAAAAAACCAAACAGTTGTGTAGCACAGCAAAAACAAGGAAGTGGTATTTTGGTAAGATCAGATGCATCTGATACATGCAGTGCCTGTTTAGCAGCCAACTCCAGAGCATTACCAGATCTGTTGTCTCTGACCTCTCCTATACTGTTCTTCAGAAACAGAGCTCAAAATGAGGGGTTCAAGCAGCTATAAGCCTATCTGCAAATCAATTTTTGCTTTAAAAAAAAAAAAAAAAAAAAAGGATGATTGTGTTTTTAAGAATACTGGCTGACCAAGTGATACTGCTTTTACTCCAGCGCTTTGGGTTATTTTATTTTGTAAGAGCTATATATTTTGTGGTGGAAAGTAAACCACGTCATTGATCAACAATTTCCTGCACTTTCTAACTTTATCCTAGGTATTTCAGCTGCCTATCACTGATAAATTCAGGTTTGCTTTAGATAGTTACAGAGCACTGACTGTACCTGGTAACGTGTTTCAATATATTGCTTAGCACAGACCTAATTAGCATTTTCCAAGCAATTATCAGGTACAATTTTGCAGTTTGGACGTGTTAAGGACCAATGTCCCACTGCTCACATGCAGCTGCCTTCACTGGCACAGTAGCAGACCCACCCAAATCAATCAGCATAGCACTGTGTAAGGTACTTGCAGCACCCACAAACATTGGAAAGCCTATTTAATTTATTACATCCCCCTGAGAGAAAACACTTTGCATATGAAGTCTGCCAGTCTATTAACTGAAAGGCAGGCTCTCTTGGTTGTTTATTTTTTCTTATTATCTCGCTAAGCAGAATTTGGGTTGAATGGACAACCAGCCGTGCTTTGTAATTTCTGCTATGTAAGATTGGATATAATTCAAGAAGTGGGCTTTCTATGCTTTTTTCTCAATATACATACATATCCCTATATGCACATACATATGTTGGGATCTGTTGTCATTTGATTGTATTCTTCTTTCCAGGATGTTTTCCAACATTTTTCTCATTGCATGTAGAAAAAAATTACCAGTCTAAGATGTGGAGAGAGATCCATATACATGAAAGAGTTATCCACTGTTAGTGAGAGTGGAATGAGCTCTTACTTTAGAAAACTGTTAAAACTGGTTTAAATGTCTTCACAATACATATTAGATCAAAATCAAGATAAATATATGGTCCTGGATAATTCTTCAGGTCCTTTAAAAGGAACAGAACTTTGTCATTTGGACCATTCCCTTTTATGCACTTATTACTCAAACTGAGCAGAGGCTAAGAGGTCTGAAAAAATTGATTTTAAGTTAGATTAGTGGCATTAGTGAGCATCATCACTCCAAAGTAGCACAGTTTCCATGAAATTTGGCCAGTGTTTACAGTCTAAGTAGAATCTTGGACCAAACTCATTTGTACAGTACTTGTCTCTATTTCTGTCTTAGTTAGGTGACAGAACATCCTGTGGAACAGCTTGCAAGGTGTCTAAGTATCACCAGAGCTGCTGTGTGTGGAATGCCTCCTTGTTGCCTCAATCTTACAAGGCTTATTCTCCTAATATCTTTACCTTTTCCTGATCAAGCCTGTTACGTAATGTTACTGTGGGCTATGAGCCCATTATAGTGTGATGAATGAAATAATTTGAAGAAAGTGTGTTTCTATAATCGTTTTAATTGATTTGAGATCATTCTTCAGGAAAAGGTAATATCCATTAGAATTCACAGTCTATTTTAGACTACGCTTCCTTATCCTAAAGTAAAAGAACTATACATTTTATTGGTGGTGTGTGGGGGAAAATAAATTATCAGAAAAGGTGATTAATTGCACTTAATAATGCTTATAAATGCTCAGTTGAAAATTGATTCATAAGTTTTTATGATATAAATAGTGTTTTTTCATTAAGTCAATTCGTTAACATGGAAAAACATTGTCTTTTTCTACCTGAAAATGTTATTTAACTTAGAAGTTAATAAAATGCATTTCATCTACTCGTACGATGGTAGAAGATAAGTGTACCACTATACTAGGAGGTAATTGCAATTGTTTCAGTCTCCTAAAGGAAGAAAGAGGGAAAGTATTTGTTCTAAGCCACATACAATGTTTGTGACTGAGATGAATATCGCATCTGTAACCCACACTCCTCACAGTATAACAACAGTTTCAGGATCCTGCATGTATTGAAGCATGAAGATCCACATTGTCTAGCAGTAACAGAAATACTTTCTGAGCCCTCCAAATGCAACTAAAAGGCTGTATAGCTGAGGTGCAAGCCAGTAGCAAGAAGGGGTATTTTTACTTTTTTTCTTTGCATTTTGCAATGCAAAATGAATCCCCATGAAGAGAGGTGTGTTTCATCTTTTTCTCCAGCTAAGGTACTAGTAGCTTTAAAAAAAACAAACACTGCTTTAACCTGACAAAGAGCATCACAAGACCACAGAGTTAGGAGGAAATGAGAATCGAGTCTAGCTTATTATGCTAAAACCCCAAGGAAATGGCTGAGTTCATGAGACTGATAAGCAGTGTGATAGATTTGTGGAAAGAGAAAATTTAAAACTTTTTTTTTTTTTTACATAGAGTCAAAAAGAACATTCAGAGCCTTTTAATGGCTTTGGAAATTCCCCAAGATGCACAAAGCTGTCAAACATGGACACCAGTTGAAAAGTTTGTCTGTAAAAATGAATTACCCAGACCTCAGCGTGAGATTTCTGAGATAAATAATTATTCACAGAACCAAAAGTGTACTGACAGAGTAGTTCAAGCTACAAAGACACGTTCAGAGCAACTCAATCAGATGTAGATAGTGTAGATGAGCAGAAAAAAATGCATGATTTTAGGTCAATCCAGTACCTACTTATTAATGTTTTCACAGAATCTAGAAAAGCAAAAGACCCCTATCCTATTCGTGTATTTGATATCACATAAGAGAGCCACACATTGCTTGCTGGAATCACTAATTCAGTTTCAGAGGCAAAACAAACATAATTCTGTGTACTAATAAGAAGTAATCATTTAGTAGAAAAGGAAAAAAAAGTGGAATTACCCCAGAGTGAACACTGGAAATATTTTTAACTAAATCATGATGAAAAATAATTTCAGTCTGAAGGAACTCTAAACTATAAGGAAAAACTGAGCACATGTAAAACATGAGAAACTCAGTCCGTCAGGTACCTGGATACACTCACTTCTGATGACCAGAAGCAATCTTCTGTGGAAGACACTCTGGGAGAACTCTAGCAGGACACGGCACTACCAAGGTGAGTGAGGCTCTTACTCTCATGATGAAAATCTCAGTTGCTGAGGTTTGAAAAACAAGATTTCAGTCACTATTGAGTCTTCTATTATTATTTACTTCCAAGGAAGAACAAAATCCTATCTCGTATTGAGAAACATGAAAATTATCAGCTGCCTAACACACAGAGGACCTAAGAAATTCACAGTATTTTGCTGTAAGGCCCCTTTCCCTTCCTTGTGGATTCACCCACCTCTGCAACACACCTACTGTCATCTCCTTACCCTGCATTTTGTCAACACTCCAGACACAGTAGGTGCCTCCCTCTGCTTGAGTCTTGAAAGCCACCCTAAGCTTAGTGACAGCACCAGACTGAGCAGTCCCAGACTCCTTTCTACCTAACATCTCAACTGAGACATTTATCACTCCAAAACAGAGTTTTGCTCACCTGCTAATTCTATCACGAAGTTCATCCTTACTGCTTATTTCCAACAGCACTAGGGTCAGCTCAACAGCACTAGGGTCAGCTTTGAAGGTTATGAAAGAATATTTAATACTGTGAGCAGTTGGTATTTTGACTAAAAGAAAAAAGAAAAAAAAAAAGAGATTTACTTTGCTTATCGTTTAAATACTTTAAATACTCTTACACTCTTTATTTTCACTGTTTTTAAACTGCAATGACTGTTTATGGAAGTGTGCACTGCATAGATAGAACTATTCTATAATGGCTGGACTTAGATCTACTTAGATCTATCCTAGACATCATTAAACAATTCATTTTCTGTGATAGGGAAATGTGCTCTTGGGCAAGAGCTCTCCATTAGTATGAATTATTAACAGTATGTATATACATGCATTATGGATTTTAAAGATGAAAAGACAGCTTGCCTGTTATTCTATAGAGCTTTCTCTGTCTACCAGACTGCTGGATTTCAGACAGCTGTGCGTGCTGAGTGGCCGCAAACAAAGAATCCCTGGTGACCACAAAAATTTTGTTTTCTTGTTGCCAAAATCATATAAAACTTACCAAAAAGAAAATTCTCTGTCTGATAATGTCTGCTTAATCCTTCATTACTTCTTCCTATTGCAAAGCTATGTCTTCAAAGTTTCCCAAATATCCACAAAAGAGGTCTCAGCACCATTCTCAAAATGCTTACACTTTTATATTAAAATATCTCACAAGAAGGAGATTTTTGTAACCACAGCATTTAAGAAAATTGCGTCGTTGTCAGATGTTCCTGCTGACGCATCTCCTTGTGATGTGTCAAATCACATCTATCAGCTATGTTAAGCTACAAAAGCCTGCATGATAATGGTAAATGATGGAAAGAAGCAGCTTTGATACGGTACATCACACTGTGATACAGCAGTGGAAAGTCTAACAGTATTTAAATCTCAAATAGAACCTCTCAGATGTGCAGCTGCAGACAGTCTCCACTCATGTTTCTACACAGCTTTGCTCTTTTTGAAAAACGTTCTGATAGGTGTTTGCTGCTGAAACCTTTCCAGGTAATTAGTCCCCCTGGTGCCTCAGGATTCACCCATCTTGCTGCTCCTGTTGCCATCTATCTCTATGAACATTACCTCCATGAACTTTAGTTGTTTTTTTCTCCAAAAGTAACTATGCTTTTCTCTAGGAAGTATCTGTGAAGGATTCCCTGTTGTCCTTCAAGATTAGTTGTGAAATCAAAGTCTAACAGAGCACCCTGTTTACCAGTCACTCTGTGGGTTCCAATAGGGCATGCTTCCTTCCATAACCCAGGGCTGCACATGTACTCCCAGTGCTACACTGAAGACTTATAGAACTGGTTAAAGTTACACAGATATTGTATGTCTAAGGACATTTTATATTATGAGTGTTACATTGTTCTCATTCTTCGCTATCCATTTCTTACATCTGAAAACTCCCTCATGCTGCTTTTAAAAGCTGAATAATGTTTTGCCTTTTTTCTTAACCAATAATACATATATTATCCACGTCGTTTTAAGAAAAACAAACCTAGATTAGGCTTTCTCTTACCTTTCTGAGGCACTCCCTGTCCCACCCCATGAGCAAAGTCCTGATTGACCTCTACCACACATGGGCATCAGTGCCTTAATTCAGTGGACCCCAGTAACATCGTCTGAGATCCAGCTCTTTCAGCTAACATGACGTCAGTCTGCAGACAGCTGGTGGACAAGAAGCAGATCCTGCGCTCTGTCCTACCAAAGGATCTGCTCAGATGCCCATTTGACAGCGACCTTTTGCTAGGAGTTCATTTCCTTGCCCAACCAATTATTTGGCAATTTCTTAGTAGTTTCCATTGCAGAAAGTCTGCAATTTGGAAAACTAAGCATGCCTATCACTAATGAGGCAGTATAGGACCTAATTTTTTAAGTGTCTTATTCATTGTCAAAAAACACCTTTCCATAGTATTTCTACTTCTGTACTTCTTTTAAGCTGGCTGTAATTCACACACAAGAGCTGGAAAACGTTCAGTGACTGCAACATTCATTGTACTTAAGATAATAACTCTGCTGTGAAGAGCATGGATAATTCTCCAGCAGGTTCCTCTGCACGTAGTTCTGGGTAAACCAGAGCTGGTTGATCACAATACCTTCCCTTTATTTCTTCTGCTTCTAGAGGACAGCATGTTAACAGAAGGAGGGAGCAGTTATGCAGCTGCCAGCAGTGGCAGAGAGCACCGTTTGCTTTGCACAAAGAAGACTCATTCTATTGAATAATTTCTCCAGAGAGAAGTGGGATTCTATTTACAGCAAACTGTATGCAAATCTTCTCTCTATATACTGTTTTTTCTGCTTTTTGTTTTTTCCAACAATATGATGGATTGACAGACCAGCTACCAAAAGGCATACTAAGGAAAATAGCAATCCTAATTTAAGTGGAAAAAGACAAAAATAGAGCAAAATAGGAAAAAAGAATAATACAACAACAACAAAAATATATACTTTGAAACAAATTTCCTACAGGCTAGAGAGAAAAAAACATGTTTATTATACAGTAATCACCTACTTTCTCCGTTCATACTGTGTCACTATTCCTCCCTCTCAACAGTTCCTTCCATTCAGCCCTGCTCAGACAAGCCATTCTCACCACTGCTTCACTATGGTTCATTGCAAAGTTACGTCCAGAAAAGAAGAATCCTGAACCAGTAACCCGGTATGTGTGTGCCACAGCACACATGCACACTTGTATACATACATATAAGCATCACCACTAAAATCCAAGTGAAATTCTATTTCCAATTATAATTTCACAAGCAAAAAGTACTATTTAGGCACTGACAATTGCAGGTTTCATCTCTTCAGAATGTCTTACAGTGACCGCCTCGTCTTTATTTCAATAGTTACTCTTAACGTAAGAGCCATCAGAGGGCTAAACCAAGTACTGACATATGAATGCACTAGAAATGCAAGATGTTTCTTTAGAAAACGTATGATTTGTTATGTGCAATACTTACATGCTGTTTCTCATCCACAAGGAAAGTGTCCGCATACCACCTACAATTCATTAAAAAAATCCATTTACAAACGTACTTGCCTGTTTGTTGTTTCTTAAAAAAAGAACAAGAATTTTTACCAGAAATTTTGACCAAAACAATCTTCGAAATCTCATTCATAGCAAACAGAAACACCACTGCTTATTTTACAGTAACCTTCTTTAATTAACATACATAATATTATACTCATCGTGGATTCACATTTGAAGCTTACTTAATTATGCTTTTTTTTCTCTACAGGGATTTGCACATTTTGATCTTATCCCAGCAAAAATAAAGACCACTGATACATTAATTGATCTCAATGTGGTACGAACATAGTCCTGCTTACTAAAACCTTCTAAACATGCCTGTACAGGTAGAAAACCCAGGTTTTTGATTAACTGCATTTTCTTCTTTGGTATCAGAATAGAAGGTGCATGTTCATGTTTTCAAGCACAGATGACATACAAAATAAACTTTAAAGATAGCTTTATGGCCATTAATTACAAAAATATCCTTACAGCAAAGGAGGTAAAAGAATGACTTAGAATGGATTAAGCCTTCTTTACTGAGTTGTGCTTTTCAAAAATACCTCATGAAATTATTATTCAATTTAAAGCAAGATTAGGGCATTCCAATAAATAAAGAGCCCTAATGTCCCAGATCAAAATAAATCCTGAGTTATATTAATGGCAAAGCTTCCTTAGAATTCGTTGGTTTCAGAGTTTCACCAATAGGTCAAAATTCAGACTTGGTAGAGATTCTTCCAGCCTTATATAAAATGCATGAAATAAGAAAGAACCTTGAAACAAAAACCAGGAAGTCTAATAATTCTTACAGTTGGTATACTTTTTTTTTTTTTCTTTTTTTCCAAAAAATAAAATAGTAAAAAATAGAAAGTAAGAAGAAAATCTGGTTCTTATTCATAAACATACACGTTGCAAGCAATATACTGAGAATCTTAGTCAGAGACAAACAGAAAAAGAGAATACTTTATAGAGTTCCTGACATGAGGACAAAAAGGAAGGCTATAAATAAAATAATATACAAGGTCACAGCTAATGTAAACATTAAAACAAAGTGATCTACAAAACCACATACACATTGATAACTCATCTTAATTTAAAAATATCAGATGATCTCTACACAGTAAAAATGTCCTTTGAAGAAAAAGAGTTAACATTTTATAATTTTACAGAAGGCAAGCATATTGCATACATATGTACACTGCTGGGTACATACATGTCTTTAGGCAATGTACAGTCATAAATCAGAAAATTAATGTACGGGGTTCAGAATATGTAGACAGAGCACCGTGTTGAAATACTAAGTAGATTAAAATTTGCCACCTTAAGTACAGACAAATAACTGTCTTAGAAATACATTCGTGTGGTCGCAATGTATTGCCTTCTTCTGAGAAAGTTAACATAATCTTTAATGCTAAAGCATGAGTGATTTTCAGCTGGCACAAACCAATAAAATGCCACTGAAATCAGGAGCTGTACACTGATTTGCACCAATTCAGAATCTGACCAAATACATTTACAAACTGGATTTTAAATGCAGCATATCAACTTAATGATATTATAATGTAAAAGATGTATTCGTACAATTTTCGTACAATTATGAAAAATGAACTCAACAGAAAAAATATAGCCATAATGTAAACTGTATTTGGGGAGCATATTATCCCATATAGTATGTATTAAAGAGAAATGGATGTTCCAATGGCCTTTTAAAGCACAGTCTGAAGATCACATCTAAATTAATTTCCTTGAGTGTAAAAAGTTTATGAACCAGTAAAAAGTTAACGTTGCAAGTAGAGGCGACAAACTGCTTCATAATAATTTCACTGCTGTTTGATTACAGCAAATGATAACAGCAAAAGATAACAGCAAACATTTCTATTCTATAATATTCCGTAAAAGGTATTTCTTTTACTCTTTGTCATCAGCAGTTTCTACGTACATTGCTCACTCCTGTAGAATCTCGAGGTTTTTCTTCTTCAAAAACTTGCATACTTTCTAATTTGTGAATGAAACCAAATGAACAATTTGATTCTTCTGCCCTTCCTAGGTATTGGCATTCTATGTACTTACAGACGTGACAAAAGCGACTGATAACTTCAAACTGCCGATAACACTGTGAGATGATGATTCTTAATGCCAGAAAGATCCTATAAAGACATTACTCTATGGCTCATGTTACCTGAGAAATGGTACGGCTCCAAGAAGGTCACTGCCTGGACAGACTGCAGTTTCCCAAGGACAAAGATACACTTCTCATCTCAGCGGAACAGATTAACTTTCAATCATTTCTCTGCAGAGCTGTTCTGCGGGACCACTTAGCAAAATCTATCACCTAATTTAGGGTCATCACTGCAGTCTGAAGATTTAATTCCTGTGATTCGGGTGGATTAAAGGGGATAGTATCACTTTCACTGTTTACATGAGGAAGACAATCCAGTAACTCTATGAACTGGCAAACTGAACAGGAACATAAACAAAAAAAATAGAAGTTCTGAGTAAGCTTGAAACTTCAAAAGTAGATTAATTAAGCAAGTTTGGTGGAGCTTATTTATAACGACAAAAAACCAATTATTTATTTTTTGAAATAATGTTAACTTATAAATTAGACTGCTAAAAACCATACATTTAATTTTAAATACCAGGTAAATGGCGAAATGAAGCTACTGTTATGTAAGTTACTAAGCTACTATAAGTTTAATACTTACTAACAATTCCAACTCAAAATGATATTTTATTACTTCGTTTCAATTACTGTGTTCAATATTAAACTTAACTTGTGAATTATTTTTCTACTGGTTTTGCTCTTACATACTAACAGCTCTAGAAATAAATGCAATACCATGTTAGCAAATGATTACATTTGATGGTTACTAGTCTTTTATTCTAAGTTTATACACTATTGAAAGCAACTACAGTAAATAAATAATTATGCAATGTTATAAAATTATTAACAACTTAAAATAGAATAAATTTAATTTAAATTGCTGGGAAAAGGTAAGATACAAAGCTGTTTGAATGCTTTTTTTAATCACTGACTCCTAAATTAGTAGATGGGACTTATTCAATTAACTGAAATTTTGAAATTTGCTATCTTTTATCTTCTGCCAGATAAAAATGTAGGAATAAGGGATCATGTATAATCACAACCATCCTGCGTTGTTTCTTTTTATCCAGTGGGTGTTACCAGACCTTTTTCTTTGACAGGGCATCAGGATCCAGGGGAATACCCATGCTGACTCCTGCAGAAGAGTGCAGGAATACAGAAGCCAGCGTGGGTCAGAAATAAGGCAGGGACCTGAGCAGCAAGCAGGCACTTTCAAGCTTCAGATACAAGTTTCAGTGCTTGAGCAGTGCGGCTTGCAGCCTGCTTGCTGCAGAAGGTAGTGAGACATATAGATTGGGCAGGCTTACTCTTGAAATAAAGCAGAAGGATAAAGTCACTTATGTAATTTCTAGGTACCAGATAACTAGAAATGGGCGTTCACTTGAAATTACAAGCTAGAGAAAATTTACCCTCTTAATGGCATTATGCAAATGGATGCCCAGTAACATCCTGCTCTGCAGCAGCATCAGGCAGGGGTTTGGAGAAGCAATCCATGACCAGGCCATTCATCTGCTCTTGTCAACTTTTTCTTATTAATGTAGTTTAGCCCTTTCTAATGGCATGACAAGGAAAACTTGAGTATCCCACACTGTAATCAGAGTTGACAAGATGTTGTTTGCTATAGTTTTAATGCATTATTATACTAAAACTTTCAACATTGATATAGGTAAGTACTAATGCTACAGATGCAGAAAATAATAACCAGATAGATATCTTTTAGGCTATATTACTTTTTGAATGGATAATATGTGATGCATATTAATAATCTTCCAAAACTACTATTTCAATTCAACCATATATAATTCTATTATAATATATAAAAGATGAAAAGAAGTAATTAATTTGAGAGCTAGCCCCTACCTTTTATTTTGGAGGGTCTACTTCTAGCACTAAAGGTCATGCTGCAAATTCTTAGCTTCACTCACGTGGCTAGACTTCATTTTAACTCACAGAGCTGGCTCTGCCCCGCAATCACTTCTGCTTTTATTTTGGGCCCTCACAAGTGTGGGCCTGAAATATCTCACAGTAACACGAATGAGAAGATTTCTCTGGCTGAAGTCGAGTTTCATCAGCAATAAAAAGGCTTCAGAGGTAGGGAGAATTCTCTGAAATACAGTCAGAAATAATGGCAACATGTTATCATTATTTCTATTCTATGTCACTTACATATTTTTAATACCCCAACGCTGCAGGTAACAGGGGAGTGAAATGAGGTAAGAACCTGAACCATCCCCCTGGTGAGATTCAAAATTCCCAATGAGAAGTTCCTCCTGACCTTCCTGCACATGTGCAAAAAGTAGGCATGAGAAATGGAGATCAGCTGAAGGCTTGATGGAAATAAGGCTCTCTGTGCTGTATGTTTTCATGGTAAGAAACATTCCCCTGCAAGTCAAACCACTGCTGATCCATTCTTTTTTCTTCTACCACTGATGTTATTTTTGTTACGCGGTCTTTTTGTGGTTTAGTAGAAAAGGGATTAGCTCCAACAGTCAGCAGTTTGTGCAAGAAGACGACAGGAAGGCAAAATTTGTCACAGTGACATCAAACTGCTAACACAAACGGATCTGTTACCCTTTCTCTCTTGCTCAGTGAGACAGCTGCCCTCAAGGTATTAGCCTCTGAGCATCCGTGATAAATCACTGAAGGATAGGAAACCCGATTATCCCAGCACAGCAGGGGTAGAGGATGCAGAAGAACATAGAGCAACGACATCCGTGAGGCTTATAATGAAAGATTTTTGATATACTTAAGTAGTTAACAAAAATTTATTGCAAGAGATAGTTTGTCACTAGATTTACAGTTTCAGAGAACATAGTACAAAACATAGTGCATCAGCTTTGTCTAAACATTAAATAGGTGCAAATACACAAGGATAAAAAAACAAAAAGTGAATACTTTACAACATAAGTTATAGATCTATAAATATATTTTATATACATTATACATACTCTAAGACATGAGCTTCACTGATATATATAGTTCATATCGGTATCAGACTATTCAGTGCTTTAGTTATAGGACAGGTCTTTACATGGGATAGGAGCTTTTCATGGATGTTTGCATCACTATACTTACAGTAAATACTTCCCAAGGAAAGAGGAATTTCAACCAGTTTATTTCACAGGACCGCTTGCGAAGCCGAGGGGTGCCAGGAACCCCACGTCCATCCGTCCGGAGGATCCCTGCCCTCCAAGAACTCATCCTAGAAGAGGGGCTGCAGCGGCAGGACGGCCGGGTGCGGGGACAGCAGGGAGGGGAACACGGCGTGCGGCAGCGGCGAGAAGGCCAGCGGGGCCGGCTGCAGCACCGAAGGCGGCACCAGCGGCAGGTGCGGCGGAGCCACAAAGGCTGCGGGGCCCCCGGGGCAAAGCCTGGGCCCTACGGGCAGATGAGGTAAAGGTGCTCTGGCAAGGGCCGGGACCTGCGAAAGGAAGTGCTGGTGGGGCTGGAGGGCCTTGAGCGCGCTGGCGGCGGCGTGCTGCTGCAGGACAGTGTGGTGGATGGTGGTGACCGAGGTAGAGCACAGCGGTGGCTGCAAAGGCAGAGGCTGCAACGGAGAGCTGGGGGGCTGCATGGCTGGGGGAGGAAGGGGAAACTTCACCTTGTTGGCCAGCATGTTCTGTTGCACGAGCTGCTGGTATGCCTCGGATGGGAGGTCTTTGAATTTTTCGTGGTTATCTGGAGAGAATATCAACGTCTGGTCGGGAAGGGCAAAGGGGGCTATCAGCTGCTCCGTCGCTAAGAAGGTGTGGCTATTGAGGTGTGCTTCTTTGAATGGTAAGGGCGGTGGACTGTTAAATATGCCTGAGTTGCACTGTACCCAGTCACCGGTCACCTCGTTTATCTTCTCGTGTGGCAGAGAATCAGCCAGCTCATAATGGCAAAGGACCGATTTTGGGGGAGCCTGGTCCAAATGTCTGGTGGGTGGTGGAGCTTTATAACGAGCTTGACTTTCATGGCTGTTCACATTTTCATTTTTCTTTTCATCCTTCAGAGCATCTTGTGTGCTTGCAGCTGCAGGAGCGCCCTGCTCAGGAACAGAAGCAGCACAATGTGTGGCAACATCCGAAAGCACGCCCAGCACGCTCTCTGGTGCTGCACAGTCTGTTGGCTTGTCTTGTTCCAGAACATGTGCACCAGCCACTGGCACAGATGCCTTGTTTTCCTCCAGCTGCATGGTTTCATCCATATCTTCTGCAAGATCAGCTTTGGAATTCATGATAGTATCCCCTGTGTTGTCTTGAGTCAAGAGTTCTCCCAAAACATCTAACGTAGAACTTGCAGAATTTTCTTTACAAGGCCTGGAGGCCTCACTTCTCTCACTCCTGTCAATGCATACATGACTAATTCTAGTTTTCCTCCTCCTGTGTTTTCCTTTTGCCTTGTGATGCATACCTACAACGTTTGCTTGCCTGAAATACTCCTCTGCCAAGCACGCCTCTCTGTACAAACTTTCATCTGAAGAACAGGAATAGGCGTGCTGTCTCCGCTTCCTGTGGGAGCTTTCTGGTTCATCCGTCAGGAAGCTGTAACCTCTCTTTATGGGCTGATGGTGGCCTGGACTCTTTTCTTCACTGCAGTGCCCTAAACATTTATGCTCTGGGCTGCAGCTCAACCTCCTGACTTTCCAGCTACAACAGGTTTTGGAGCACAGGCAGTTGTGCCTCCTACAAGTTCGAGCCAGCTGCCTCAACTGTCTCCGAGAGCTTGCTTTTCTCTTTCTATGCAGAGATTTACAGCCACTGCGTTGGTCCCTACTTTTTGCATGCCAGATGTCACATAATCCTCTGCCCCCATGGAGGTGATCTGATGTAGCCAGGACTCTTTTATGACCATTTTCAGTATCAGGTTTTTGATGAGACTGCTGTACCTCATCCGTAGCTATCCAGATATTCCCTGCATCGTATCTGCACTTCTCTGGGTTGTTTTGGAGGTGCTGATGTTTATTTTCATCTCTGTAACTCATTTGCTTTTCTATAACTGAGGAAATTTCCATTTCTGCAATTGTTGCTTCCCCACAAGGATGATAATGATGGTGATGACAATGGCACAATTTTCTCCTCCTTTTCCGTTTTCTACTTTTGTGAAACCATTTTTCATGACTTTCTTTGATCCAAATTTTGTTATATTTCTCACCTATCGCAGCATTCTGTCGTAAGTGATTTTTTGAACTGTGACACTTTTCTAGTTTTTTAATCCTGAATGACTCACCCAAGGCCACTTTATTTTCATTTTTTGCAAGATCAGAATTTCTGATGAGGGAAACGTCACTTACAAGGGGTATTGTATAGTCACATGCATTTTTATTTATTTCTGCTTCAGGATCACCACATTCTGAAGTAGGCTTGTTTGTAAAATCTGAGACTAAGCTATGGTTGGATTCAGTTTTATGGTGCAAATTAGGTACGTTTGCCTGATGCTTGGGTTTCTCATGACTATCACTTGCTCTTGACGACCTGAAATCAAAATACAAAGGGTTACAGCTATAAGAAATGGATGGACCTGTACTTGTGTAAATTACCATTTCTGATGGCCACTGAAGAATGTTTGATCCGTGTTTGCTAAGAACAGGAATGAACGGTTCACAAGATTTCTTGCGTGTGTCCAGTTTGCTTTGGGGGACTCTTGAGCCATCTTCAGAATGTGATGGAACCAACGTCTCTGTCCCCAGCTTTATTTCATTTTCAGCCGTGAATAAGTCACTGTTCCCATCTTTACCATTTTCCTCAGCAGTGTCCTGCAGAGATGAGCAATCCTCCACAGCAGCCTGAGCAACAGCTCCATTTCCCAGCAGCTCACAACTGCTGCAGTCCAGGGGCAGAACTTGAGCACTGTCCACAGCCACAGACAGTGTTTGACCTGGTACATCCGCAGCACTGACATCAGTACTGCAGTCCTCCATGTCAGAAGACACTAGCTGCTTTGAATTGGAAACAGCAGGATTTAATACAGGGTTCTCTAGCTCCCTGTTTTCTTCACTAGCTAGCTCTTTTGATTCCTGATTTTCAGGATCTTCTGCTGTGTCAGTGCATCCTTCCACCAGTGGGTGCAAACAGTTTTGTTTCTCCTCAGGACACAGGACTATTTCTGTTGCTGATGGAGACTGAAGATTACAAGCTCCTGGAAAAAATCTGCTTCTTCTGCTAAGTCCATGCTCCATAGATGTTTCATCATTATATTCGTAGAAAACAGCAGCTGAAGATTCCAGTTTGACTACTGCTTTCTTAGGAAAAGCAAAGGAGAACCCAACTCTATGTCCTCGAGCTCCTTGAACTTGATCTCCAAATTTATTAGTTCTGGATGTATTACTGCATGCATTTTCAGGAGTGGAAGAAATATCCGAAGTAGCATCTTTGCAATTCTGTGTATTGTGCATCAGCGTACAGCTGAAATCCTGTTTGCTGGAAGAATCTATAGCAGTGCTTTGTGGGATATCAGTGGAATTATCCCGCACAGTCACTGTTGTGGATTTGAACATAGGTCCACTTCCAGGAGCACTAGGAAGGCAAACAAGACTCAGAGTAAGTACCTCTCAGAGGACTGCAGACATGCACAAAGTGTTACATTCGTATTAAAAGGATTTTTTAAAAAAGAAAAGAATCTATGGATATATAGATTTAGAAAGTATCTTATTTCATTATAGGATTTGTTTAAAAAAGATAAATATTTTGTCCACAGTTCCTTCATGTGAGGTCATCAGACAGAGGGCTAATAATCTTATATAGTTCAATTCTCCTAAATGTACTTGCTGAACTAATAAAAGACCACATATTTCCCTAGAAACCTTGCTTCTCCTCTCAGTATGCCATCACAGTTATGCCGCTATTACTACAAACAGCTGAGGTTTTATGTTTCTATGTGCTACAAAATATATTAAAGCAGAGAGTACCTCAGAGATCACTTCTCTCTTAGTCATGATCCCAGTGACTGCTTCTCCACCCACAGGCAATCACCCAGCAGCTCCTTTCCTATTTGTGTTCTCAGACCTGTTGCAAGCTCAGCCATTTATTTCATGGAAAAATAATATCAGGAAAAGTATTTCAGCTGACAGTAGTGCAAAAGTGATTCATCCCTCTTGAGAAAAAATTTATCACTGTCTACTTCTGTT